CAAAAGCGTGAATTTTGTTAATTAGTAATGAATACACTATTAATGGTTTAATTTCAGCTCTTGATCTTTAACTATTACTTTGTCAATCAAGGGTTCAGATTGCAAACCACTAACCAAAGATAAATATCAGCGTGTCTTTCTTTTTATTGTTAGGGGTGTTTTGGTCCCAACAAAGCCGAAGCAGTGAAAAAAGTCTCTTCCCTTAGAAAGTTCCTATTTCGAAATAAAAAGTTGAGAAAGTATCTAATAATGTTAATAGGGAAATTAGGAGAAATAACATATAAAAAATTATAATTAGGTGACTAACCATAAAAAGCTATGGCTAGAATATTCTCTATAATTTATAAATTAGTGACGAAAATGCCCTCAACCAAATGACCAGCGTTTGCATCCGACGATGAAATTGATTTGAGTAATTTTTGGGGAAATTGTCTTTGAGTAAAATGCAAAAATGCATTTACCATCCCTCATCTCTTGTTCAAAGTACCACATGTCTCATCCATCTTCTCAACCCACGACCCCACAACAAGCTTTAATTTTTTTGTTTTCGTTTTAGAATTATATCTCATCCAAATATGATCTCTTACTCAAATCTATGAACCATTGTCATCGATTTGTAATCGAAAGCCTATATTCGCTTCTGATTATGCTAAATCCGGTGACGCTTCTTTCATTGTCGAGTATATTGAGTGTTTTCGACGATGCTCATCTGAAGTCGTGATGACGGCGATGATGGAAGTTTCGGTTACGGCAGCCATGGAGATTGCGGTCGCGGTCATGGCAGAGCAGGAGGAAATCACAGTCCTGGCCCTAGATCCGACGTAACGGCGGTACTTCTGAAATTCACGGCGGTGTGCGACTATAAAGGTTGAAGATGGAGAAGGGCAAAAATGGAAATCTATTAGGGGTTTTGTTCACTTGATACATGAGTTTCTTTTGATAGCTATATTTTTTATTATTAGGCCCAATATGGCTAGTAGCCAAATTGACCCATGTTAATAACCCTATTTTTTTTCAAAATTTTTTTGTCAAACATTTGACAAACAAAGGAATAACACTTTTTTATCAACTGTGCAATTGATAATACCTAATCGATAGTTTTATAATC